GCACGAAATAAGTCTCTAACACCATTTTGTAACTTTAAGTACTCAATAATTTTTGTAACTTTTTATACCCTGTTGTCACACTTAATTATCGTTCGTATGTGTGCCTAAGAGATAAATTTCAAATTATCTTAATATTTTTTAAGGTACCTGCATGTCATTTTCCCGAAACGTTGATTAAATTAATTCTTTTAATTGTTTTTAATAAACTGTTTCAATTTCCGATATTCAATTGGCCCATCGATCTCATGGTTTTACAATGGAGATGATATTTGGAATTCCTCACCCTTTATTGTTATACCATGTATACTGCGTTGTACACGCTTGAAGGTTCCGACTTTTAAAAATACAGATGGGAAAAAAATAAATTATAAATTAAAGAGAGTTCACCTGTTGGTAATTGTTTTTAAATATTTACGTACTCTTAACATTGTAGATCGCGGCATACAGAGAGAGAAAAAAAAATGAAAAGGTGAGTTTTTTTGTTGTATGACCATTATCCACGAATTATACCTATCAACGAAACTGTGATTTTTGCTAAATCCACGAAAGTTGATGCCCACGAATATTAATGAAACCACAGTATCTAAGATTTTTCAGTTTACCCGATCATGACAAGAAGCACACTGCTGGTGTGACCGTGTGACAGGGAATGCCTGCTCCTCCATGGTACTCGGTCCACCATTGTTTTCAGAGGTCCGTGTTGGCTCTACTCGTAAATTGACTTTTGAGAATGGTCACTGTTCGTGATGATTACCGTTTGTTATCTTCACATTTCATTTTCTATGGCAAGTGATTCTCTTATTTTTACATTTTCAAATATCTTATTCCGAGAAAAAAACACAAATTAGGTAATAGATTTATATTCAGCATGAAGCGATTTGCTCAACACTTGATAGAACTGCATGCTTTCTTGCTGTATGTTGCTTAGTAATACATTGGATGGGGCTTGCAGAATTTTCTTTTAATATTGAGGAAAAGTATTTTTTCATTGAATAAAGTAACAGGTAAAAATGTAAATATAAGAAAAAACTGTCTGTGTTTTTTGGTTTTATGATGATGATGATCAATCAGTTTGCTCGCGTGATAATTTTATGCATAAATTCTAATTTTTTAACCTTAACATTCACCTTGTTCTGCCCAGCTTTGCAGAGAGAACTCTTTCCGAAATGTATTTAACATATTTTTTTCACACATTAATCTTGAAAGTTTCATGTTTGTGAAAACTTGTTTTGGTGTTAATTTCACCTTCTTTACAAGTTCAAGCCACTGGGTAATAAATTAGTTTACATTTACGTTATCTTAAAGGACTTATCGCATGTTTCTAAATTATTTGAAATTAAAAGCGTATTACGTTCCTTATGACCACAATTTATAAATTCTGTGTTTTTACTGTGGATAAATCGCGGTAATCAACCAATTATTGACTCAAATGAAAACCCCTGAATTAAAAATCTAAGTTAATTAGATAGCGATCACGTGACCCTGTGACGTCAAAGGCGACAATGGCTGATCAGCTCTTCATTAATCTTACTAAAATATACGCGATACAACCTGAATTTTCTGCGTTGTGGACGACCAAATCACTTATTTTATCGATATAAATTGAATATTCAACCTTATATGCTAGAATTGTCAGCAAGAAAAAATCTGAAAAATCTGTTTACATTGTAAAAATAGCAGCGACGATAGCGAGGGAGACGCAGCGAAGACGAAGAAACTCGTCATAACAATGCAGTTTGATTTGTCATCTTATCACATGTATTAACTTGTTTGATTCACAAATTAAACATTATATAACTTTGTTATTCTTCGTTTTGTATATAACATTAATTTATGCAAGTCTTCATATGTTTTTTAAAGGATGGCGATCTTGAAAAGTAAATTCCCGATCACGAAACATTGCCGTAATTAGAGCTACAGGTTCTAAATATTTTGAATAAAAAATGAAAATATCTTAAAAGCCTTATACCTTAGAACTAATTAATGTTCTATAGTAACTGAAAAGCATATAAGGAATTCATTTTTTCAGCATTTTTCGTAATTAAGCTGCATTTGTCGTTGATAACTCCGTAAATGTGTGCATATTCTCATCTCTCTATCACCGAATTGTCGCCTATGACGTCAGAGCAGTATTTCGCCGAAATCCGATTGAAATATGCATATTGCCGTATTTGAATTTCAGCTCTCCATATCTCTTAAAATATGCTTTCAACAACGTTTATTGTATTCAGTATTTTAATAAATAAGGTTATAGATAAAAATTTTCATAAAATTACGATTTTTGAAAGATCATGCGATAAGTCCTTTAATACATGTATTTCTTCTTTGAGTTTTACTTGAAATCTGCACATTAAAAATTTCAGTGTATACTTGTTGCAAGTTGAGGCTGAAATATTTTCTAGGGTAGAACTTGAATTTTTTTAAAGATCGAAGTTTAATTTGTAATTAACCAACTCCTGGTTCCGAATCATCGATTCTCCTTTCACATCGAAAAATTTTTGATGGCGTGAAACATGTATGTGTTGTTCCAAAGTTCCCTGACCTCTACATACTAAAATATTGAAATATTGTGGATGTTTGTAAATGCGCTATATTGTAGGCCATATGGTATACTAAGTGGGCTATGCCTCTTCATATTCAAAGTGATAATTTCAATTCTCTTTGAGCTTTTCGTAAAGAAGGCCTTGACTTTTTGACCTTTAGGGTTTTCTTTAAGTCATAGGTAGTTATAATATAAGATTTTATTGCAAAAACTCAAACAGATTTAAATTATCACCCGGTAACTTCTTTATGAAATGTATGAAATTCTGACTCAGGTGACCTAAGCATGACTCTTTTAAAACCAACCTAGCCCAAGTGTTCATAATTTAAATAAACTTTAATAAACATGACTAGGAAACGTCTGCATATCAGTATATAGTTTTGTTTCACCCTGCCATTTTTTTTTTAAAAAATCCTACATACATTACATGTACCCCTTGTAAAATTTGAATACCTTTGTATGGCCACAGCCTAGTCTTAGAGAACATGATCTGGAATCTGTACTTTATTGGGATGCTTGTATTGTGATATGTACGATGGCCAATAACGGCCACCACATTACAAGTTAATTAACTTACTGTCTTTTGTACATGTAAAATTTAACAATTTAGCACAGACATAATACACAGAAACCTATGCTGGTAAATGTACATGTACAAATTCATCAAATTGACAAATACTCCAAGTACATATTGCACAGAAACTTTGACCTTTGAAGCTCATATATATATATATATATATATATATATATATATATATATATATATATATATATATATATATATATATATATATATATATATATATATATATATATATATATAACAGGTGATCATAGATACTCCCACTTTGTATCAGGGGGAATAATAAAAAAAAAAAGGCTGAAGATATTGGGACTTTGAAAGATTGAACTATGTATACAGCAAAATCTTAGGAAGAAATACATGGAACTTGACACCTACCAGATCCATACAATGATGCTTAAAATGAAAATGATACTCACGACAGTAGTACACATCTGTACATAAATTAATATATATACTAGTAAGAGAGATTGACTTTAAAAACTGGCAATAGGAAAACAATCTGTGAGTAATATGCATATATACTGTCTTTTATTAATTTCTAAAAGGACAATGGTTCAGTTGACATTGTTTCATATCTCTAAGTGAACACATGTACCACAATTAAGATTCTTTTCAATGTGGTTTCCAGAGATATAAATAACATGTTATTTATGTTTCTGGTGGTTTCTTATTCTTTATTTGCGTATATCAACCACCTAGATATGGACAAACACGTGCACGTAGTGGGAAGGGGTGAGGATTGCCCTTTTCGAAGATTAATCTTCTGCCGTTAATTAGATGCAGATCTGTAGCTCGCTGATCTGAAAAAAAATAAAGATGAAAGATCAGAGAGATACTGTGCCACCAAATGAAAAAAAAAGTATATTTATTGTGCACAAAGTGCGCTGTTTTTCAATTTAATTCTCCGTATATTTAATCGGTCATCTAAAAATATTCAAGTACTACCCGTGTGTTTCTAACATATTCTCTACCTAATTCGACAACAAAAACATTCCCAAATATTCATTGTTATTAAATAGCACTCCTGGGTAGAAAATTGAGACCATCGAAAATTTCGCCAATTTAGATGCAGGTCAATGCTCGGTCCAACACACGCTTCGTGCAGAAGTCAACTACGAACGTATTTGGTAAAGATCGACGGAATTTTTTCTGAAATCGAGTTTTTGTGCATTTGAGGTAAGAATTTGGACTGAGAAATAAAATGAGTGCAACTTTTTGTGCGCAATAAATATTCCGTTTTGTCAATGGACGACAGTATCACTGTGTATAACTCTTGCAGATAGAATGTTCAAATCGTTAAAATGATAAAGACCTACGGACCCAGTTGTTGTGAGGGTCTGTTCCGAGACACATTTAGATTATTCTGACTATAGTTCTCCGGTCTGTCAATATATACTGGTATTTCTTTCAGAGAGTTACAGTTCTGCAGCTAGCCGTTAATACGATCCAAAATACACCCTCCATCCCCGAAAAAAAAATGCTGCGTCCGTAAGGGTTGCGATAAAATAAACTTTTTAGCTTTTTATACATTTTAATACTAAGATAATTGAAAATTAACTAATATAACTAAATGTAAGGTAAATGAGACAAATAAAGTCATCGTCAGCAATAATGTGAATAATGTTAATTTTGTTTGGAGGTCAGATCTCAAGAAAACTAGATCTATACAAAATTTCCTAAACCAGTCTATTTTTCTTCTCATGATTAATTCTGTATGACTTTGAGTCATACCTGTTTATTTTTAATTAATCAAAAGAATAATTTCCATAGTTAACAAATCAAAAGACATTACTTATTCTATTTCATAGAAAGTTGATTAAAATTAAAAAAAAAAAAATAACGAAACTTTTCATTTTATTTCAGATACTAAAAATGTCGATCTACTACGTTGCGTTTTTTCTGATTTTGTTTATGAGTTTCTCTGAAGATTCAGCTTGCTGTGCAAGTGAGTATGTTTCTTCATTACGATCGTGGAAGAACAGCTAAGCCATAATTAGTCATTCAATATGCAAGTATCCTCTGATGGTGCCGACTCCCGGGGTAAGGATGTGTATGGGCGGTGGAAAGACTAAAAAAGACGTTAACAAAAAAAAAACAAAAACAAAACAAAACAGAAAACTAACAAATAATTTTGGCAATGATTTTGGCAAGAGAAGGCAATTTGTCTAAATTTCTGTTAGAAGCCAATTCTAACAGATTAGCAAAATTCATTAAATATTATCTGCTCAAAATCGTCTTTTACCTCCCTTAACTGTTGTGAAAAAAAGGCAACTGTAGAACCTGGTAAACGGAAATCTTATAAATTGTTTCTGAGATAAACTAATGAAGTTTTCAGTAATAATGCATAAATAATTTCGATACTGATGAGCAAAATTTTCGGTAGGCCTAATGCAAAACTGCATCCAATATAAAGAAGATTCATATTTCTTCAAATTATGACCCCGGTGATAGGCCTAGGGTGTGGCTAGACAAAATAGGATTTTGGAGTTTAGACAATATATCTTTCTTATTTGCTTGTCAAAGTTTCTTCAGATAAGGTATTTATTTTCTGGCTGGCCCCCTTACTACGTGCCTGCATTACAATGAATTTATGGTTATATAAAGACTTGATGCATACTGTTTTCAGCATACAAAAGACCAGTGGTTGCATTTACTGCAAAACTCTCCAAGGATGCTACAGTAAGCGGTCGCCAAGTTGTCAAATATGATAAGGTGTTAACTAATTGGGGCGGAGCCTATAATCCAAAGACTGGAATATTCATCGCCCCGTATGACGGTCTCTACACCATCTCGGGCACCCTAATGAGTCACCCAACGAATTATGTGCATTTGGAAATTGTTAAAAATGGTATAAAGATGTCTATTCTGTTTTCTCATTCAAAGACATATCCTCAATCTGGACAAACTCTACATATTTTACTCAATAAAGGGGACAGAGTGTGGATACAGAATCACAATAAGGAGACGGCAAAACTTCGTGACCACGGATCATATAATTTATTTTCTGGCCTTCTAATCACAGAGTTTTGAAAAGGAATTTGAAAAATCATTCAAAATAAATCATTTATAATCATTTACATGTATTTAAATCATAATTATTTTCGAAGAAACGTTTTGATTGATTGATTGTATGTTGTTTTTCGTTCCGTTCGAGAATTTTTCAATCATAGAGAGACTTCAGTATATACTTTGAAGAGGTATAGCGCCCTTTCCCAGTATTTCGCCTATTACTACGTTTATAAATGGAAACTACCGTATACTATTAATAAATTGGATATGCAGAACTGCTTCTACATGTATGCAATTTAATTAAAAGATTTCCTCGTAAACTGATGCTGTGTTTTTGGCTATAAATTCACGAGAAACGCCCTTACATGATACATGTATTTCTATTTTGTTACTTCCTAACCAGCCTCTCTGCATATATCACTATAATGAAATCAAATATTTTTTTTTTATAATTTTTAAAAGATGTTTTATTTGTTAGACATATTACAGAATTATACCAAGATTTTTTTCTTGACTGTTTTCAAGATATTTGTTTTCATGAAAGGTCTAAATCAATATATCTATTTCTGGAAATACTGCTGCATCTTAAGTATTGTATATGTTTGTTTGTAAGGCTCATTTTTTTAAATTGTATTTTGGAGGAACTTGGATTTAATTCAACAAGTGGCAATCCAACTTATATCCATAGCTCCCTTTCTAAAGAGGAAATTCTTCAAAATCTTATGTCAGTTTTAAATATTTTTAATATTCCCAACAACCAACATGAAATTGAATTACCATATCTATATTAAATTCCGAAACTTCATAAAAATCCTTCCAAACAAAGATACATAGCGAGTTCAAGTAAATGTTCTACCAAGCTTCTTTCTTCACTCCTCACTAAAATATTAACAGTAGTGAAAGAGAAACTTCAGGAGTACAGTGCTACAATATATTCGAGAAGTAGTGTAAATAAGATATTTGGATATTTTACTTGAAAAAGACGTTAATGGTAATCTAACAACCAAGCTTTATGATAAACGTGATGACTTTAACTTTTCAATCGTCAACTTCCCTTACTTATGCAGCAATATACCTTCATCACCTGCATACGGGGTTTATATCTCTCAGTTGATTCGATACGCAAGAGAGCATGCTCTACGTATGTACAATTTCTAAAACGTGGTAAATTATTGACAAACAAGTTGATGAAACAAGAATATCAGCAGTCTCGTTTAAAGTCATCATTTCGTAAGTTCTATGGTTGATACAATGACCTTGTCAGCAAATACAATTTATCATTGAGTCAAATGTTGACTGAAGTTTTTCATACTAATTGTTAGGCCATTATTTACACACCGAACTGTCGACGGATTTTTCTGTTGTTTCCCTATCATGACAAGGAGCACACGGCGGTGGTGACCGGTCGGCAGGGGATGCTCACTCCTCCATGGCACCTGATCCCACCTCTGATGTTTTGGAGGTCCGTGTTTGCTCTGCACATATTTTGTATTGTTTAATGGACATTTGAGCTTGAATACTTTTCGTTATCTCCATATATTTCATGTTGATACTTAAAAATTCCAAGGAACTTTTGGAAAATTTGAAATCACAAAATATTACCATATCAACAACATAAAAACTTACGACTTTTCAACATTATATACAACCATTCCCCACGATAAATTAAAGTCCAGGGGCCCGTTTTACAAAAGAACTTACGACCAAGACCAACATTTTATTCTGCTTATTACTTTCTAATGTACAATAAAGTGTAAATGGTTTAATCCTTTTTAAAAGGAATGTAGAAAGATATTTTTACGCTAGAAATTTTAAATAGAATAATAAATTCGGTAAAATTTTACAATCCACTAAACGTTTTGGTCTTAGTCGTAAGTTCCTTTGTAAAACAGCCCCAGGCTTTTTGATATCATTGACAGCTGTTTTTGCAATAAAAATGGAACCCGTAAATTTACTTACCTTGTCATTGATCATTTGCAAAACTATTTTGTTAAAAAACATTCTGATTGTACCCACAAGTACTCTGAAATTGATATTAAAAAGATGCTCGAGTTTCTGATTGACAATATCTATGTGGTTTTTGGAGACCAGGTCTTCCAACAATCTATCGGAATTCCAATGGGTACCGATTGCGCCCCGTTATTAGTATTCATATGAAGCAGAATTTGTTCAAAATCTTATGCGTGAAAAGAAGAAAACATTGCTGTGGCCTCTAACTCGACATTTAGATATATCGACGACGTATTGTCAATTACATGTAACAATGGTTATTTCCATTCTTATGTCGATATGATATATCCAGTTGAGCTTGAAATAAAGGAAACCACAGAGTCTGACACATTTGTTTCATATTTGTATACTAGTATTTTACTAGAAAAGACATGCAGAGCTTGCGGAAAATTCTGCCGACTATTTCATTGATAAAATAGACAAGATTACGAGTGCACAGGTATTGGGCAATACTGTGTGAAATATATAGGAATAGTATTTTTGAGAACCTCATGATGGTATGTTTTTGACGTTACAGTGTTGTTGAGTTTGCTCCGTGGTTGCAAAACGTATTGATTTTAAAATTAAATAACATATATTAAATAACATAAATTCTATTAAATCACATGGAATGAAACTTCACAATTTAAATAAGGACCCTCTCCACACCAGTGCAAAATGTTTTCCGGTCATTGAGAAAATTATATTGAATAAAGGTGTACATATTGAGCTTATCTATCTAATTTTCAATTTATGGTGCGTGGCATTTACCCACAGGAAAAATTTTCAAACACAGCACAGTATTAGTGAACAAAAATCACTGTTGTTTACTTCCATGGAGAATATACATGTAAATATCGTGTTCATCTAATTTATCTTTGCCTTAGAAAATGTAAACAATACTTGAATTGATTACAATTGGATTAATATACTGCAAATTTCTATTTATTGGAATTTAGTTCTAAGGGCAGATCACTCTAACTGCAGAAAAATACCATAGAATCAGAACTCTTTAGTGTGCAGTGTAGAGAGGGTTCTTAAACAAACAAATATTTTTATGCCCCCGGATCGAAAGATCCCGGGGGTATATTGTTTTTGTTCTGTCTGTCTGTTTGTCTGTTTATCTGTTTGTCTGTTTGTCTGTCTGTCTGTTGTCAACTTTAATCTTGCCCATAACTTTTGATTGGTTGGAGCTATGACTTTCATATTTCACATGTGTATTCCTTGTGACAAGACCTTTCTTTGGGTACCATCATATTTGACCTTTTGACCTTGACCTTGGAGTTTGACCCACTTTTGCAAAATTTTATGAGACTTTAACCTTAGCCATAACTTCTGAACAGTTGGTACCAACAACTTTGACCTATTGACCTTGACCTTGGAGTTTGACCTACTTTTGAAAAACTTTAACCTTGGCCATAACTTTTGATCAGTTGATGCTTAGGGTTTCAAACTTCACATGTGCATTCCTTGTGACAAGACCTTCCTCTGGATATCAACCACTTTGACCATTTGACCTTGACCTAGGAGTTTGACCTACTTTTGAAAAACTTTAACCTTGGCCATAACTTTTGAATGGTTGGAGCTAGGGCTTTCATACTTCACGTATGTAATCCTTGCGACAAGACCTTCCTTTGGATACCAACCACCACTGTGACCTTTTGATCTTGACCTAGGAGTTTGACCTACTTTTGAAAAACTTTAACCTTGGCCATAACTTTTGAATGGTTGGTGCTAGGGCTTTCATACTTCACATATGTAATCCTTGTGACAAGATCTTCCTTTGGATACCAACCAATTTGACCTTGACGTTTGACTTTTATTTAAAAAACTCTAACCTTCGCCATAACTTTTGAACAGTTGTATCTAGGTCTTTCAAATTTCACAGGTGTATTCCTCGAGACAAGACCTTTCTTTGGGTATCAACATTTTTTTATTTTTTGGCCTGGATTTTGACTTGCATTTGAAGAAACTTTAACCTTCGCCATAAGCTGCCATACGGGGGCATCAGTGTTTCACAAACACATCTTGTTACATATGAGAATGTGCTCATTTTAAATTTCTTGAAGATAGTATAACGAAGATTGGCATAGTCCACGAACTTTCCGAACAACCCTCGTAGACAATCTTTAATTTTGAACCGAGTCACAAAGATGTTCCATAATTAAGTGAGTTTCAAGAACTCTCGCAAGATGAAATAAAGAATCTGATCATGGAACAACGAACTAAATCTTGAGAATTAGATATCTCACCAACTAATATTTTGAAATCTTTTTTAAATGACCTTTTACGAAACATTACGAAAATCGTTAAACTTTCATTGAAACATGGTATCTTTCCTGCAAAATGGAAACAAGCGATCGTTAAACCTCTTTTAAATAAAATAGGTTTGGAATTGGAGCTAGCGAACTACAGACCATTGAGTAACGCGTCATTTCTTTCAAAACTTATCGAAAAATCCGCTCTTTATAGACTTAATTTGCACGTAAACGAAAACACTCTGCTTCCAAAAAATCAGTCGGCATACAGAGGTTTCCGTTCTTGTGAATCTGCTCTTTTAAGACTTGTAAATGACCTGCTTGACGTTATGGAGAAACAAGAAATAACATCTCTCATTTCAATTGATCTCAGCGCTGCGTTTGATACTGTAGACCATGATATCTTTATTGAAGTACCTCAAAAACAATATAGAATTTGCGGCTTGGCGTTAAATTGGGTAAATTCATACTTGCGACCTCGTGGCTGCCATGTATGTGTAAATTTCGTTTCATCATCTGTATGTCAGCTGCAATGTAGCGATCTACAAGGTAGCTGCTTAGGACCCTGGTTACATGTATATCTAACGTACGCAGGAACTTTATTTGATGTCAATCGTCTGTCCATATCAGTTTTCGGCTTTGCAGATGACCATACCGCAAATAAATGTTTTTAATCTAACGTCGACACACAGCGAAACTGAGGCTATTTGCGAGCTTGAGGATTGCGCAATGATTATTAACAATTGGATAAACGCAAATAAACTTAAAATGAATGCATCAAAAACAGAATTCATACTACTTGGGCGAAAAAAAAAATAGGAAAATGTGCTACAAAGACGATAAACATTAATAAAAATGAAATCAAATCCGTAAAATGTATACAATACTTCGGTGCATTTTTAGATGAAAACTTAAATTTCAAAGAACATGTAAATTTTAGTTTTATCATTAGTTATTTCTCATTTGGACTGTTGCAATGGTACAGCACAATGCGAAAAAAGTAAAAATTCAGAATATGTGTGCCAAGATGGTATTAAATCGGTAGAAATTTGACAGTTCCAAAGAAGCTCTCTTTGATCTCCACTGGCTACCTATTAAATTTAGGATATCATTCAAAATTCTGATATTTATGTATAACTCTTCAGTGGGCCAAGCACCAGAATATTTAACTGAACTTTTGTCGAAACAAACTTTAAATAAAAATTATTTCTTTCCCGAAATTCCGAAAGCTGTTACACAGTCCCATCTAATAAAAGAAAAAAACTTTCAGTGACAGGAGTTTTAGTACCATCGAACCAAAATTGTGGAACGAACTACCTTTGCATAATAAACAATCAAAATCTATTGATGATTTCAAAAGCAACATAAAAACTTACTCCTTTAGGGATTTTGATGCTTTATTTTAATTATGACTCTAAATGTATATTTGTATATTTTATATGTAAATATTTTACAGTTTTATTGCACAAAACCATACGTTTATGTAAAAATGTAAATCACGTTTATTGAATACGTTTATGTAAAAATAGGCGTTTAATCAAATAAATCAGTTTCAGTTTCAGTCTTGTTTAATGGACTTTTGAGTTTGAATACTGTTCGTTATTTCCATACATTTCATACATGCACATTTCTCTTTATGTGCCTCTTCTTTCCAAATACAGCAGAAAATCTCATGTTATATTACCTTAAATTCAAAATATATCGAGAGCAGAGAACAACAATGCTTAGATCTTTATGTTTACGTCTGATTTTTATATCATATGGAAAAATACGGTGTTTAAAAATTAATCAGCTAAATCAATATATATATATATATATATATATATATATATATATATATATATATATATATATATATATATATATATATATATATATATATATAATATCTGGAACTTAGAGACTTAAACCGGACCCCCAAACACGGAAAAAATAGGCTACGTACACTATTAAGAAATTCCGTGTCTTTTCTGTATACATGTATATATAGCCCCATGCAAGAGCTTTTGGAAAATAGGATGACTGAGATTTATAGTCAATTTTTAATATGAAGACCAAGTTTAACCAAAAAAGATTTTAATACAACAGTATTCTATGATATCAAAAGAACGTAATCAACTGTAGATTTTTCTGGTTTAAATTGGTTCCCATTCACAAATTTGTATTTTTCAATGCTCACTCAATAGATCTCCATATATCACATGCAAAATCTGTAAAGAACTGCAAACGAAAGTATTGTTCTGCCGCCTACCTCCAAGTCAATTTTCAAAGATAACATATTTGATTGACTTTTCATATCCATATAGATATCTATTTGGATTTTCACAAAACATAACTTATTTGGGAAAACAATAAGAGACAACTCTATAATTTTGGTAAACTTCAATGAAATCAATGAAAAAACGGAAAATATTTTAAACCCCCCCCCCCCGTGAAACAAAAAATCTTTTTATAGGTATTAAGAATTGTTCTTTAACAAATTCATACCAAAGCTTTTGTTGTTTCACAGGCACGGGGGGGGGAGGGGGGGGGTGGCGCATATGTTTACAGACAAAAAAAAATGCTATTTTTTTCACAAATATCAAAGGGTTTACAACTAAAACATTATATTTTATCAATCTTGTTTGTTTATTCTTTTGTGTGTTAAACATAAGAAAAGATTTAAGGAACAATTATCCATATGAAAGAATATTTTAAAATCTAGTGATGCTTTATTTAGTCCGATTTCAATGGAAAACCTCGTCTATCCTACTTCTGAAAAGAGTTGGAATTAAGAGTAATTAACAATTTATCACTGGTATTAAATTTATCAATCAATTACCATTGAACTCTTCCTGACATTCAACAAAGATTGTATGGCCAAATTGTCATTAGTGTTGAATTAAATTGGTATAAAATGTAGGCGGGAATCGAGAGTTGTTTCATTTATCTTGTCTGGGTACTTATGGCTATTTTTGCAACGTTCTGGTATAATTTGTATTTGTTTATAGCTAGATTAACTAATTATGATAAAATATTGAAATATTGTGGATGTTTGTAAATGCGCTATATTGTAGTCCTTATGGCATACTAATTAAGTGGGCTATACCTCTTCATATTCAAGGTGAAAACTTTAATTCTCTTTGAACTTTTCGTAAAGAAAGCATTGACTTTTTGACCTTTAGGATTTTCTGTAAGTCATAGGTAGCTATAATATAATATTTTATTGCAAGAGTTCAAAGAGATTTAAATTATCACCCGGAAACTACGTTATATGTAATGTATGAAATTTTGACTCTGGTACCTAAGTATGATTCTTAGACCCATCCTAGCCCAATGTTCGTAATTTGAACAAACTTTAATCAACATGACTAGGGAATGCCTGCATATCGATATATAATTTTGTTTCACCATGCCATTTTTTCTTTGAAAGATCCTACATACATTACATGTAACCCTTGTAAAGTTTGAATACTTTGTATAGCCAGATCCTAGTCTTAGAGAGCATGATATGGAATCTGTACTATATTGGGATGCTTGTATTGTGATATGAGAACTGTTGCATTGCTGTTGCCATATACCTGGTACTACATGTAGTATGTTTTATTAAGAAGAGTTCCACTGCTGTGGCCCAATCTAATTTTTTGGCCCCACCGAATTTTAAAAATTTAATTCCCTATTGTACATCCCCCTCCGAGGTGATTCGCACAATTTAGAATTTATAACATTGTCTGAGGATGCTTGCATGTTACTAAGACTAATCATAACATTTTAAAGTGTTCTTGAGAAGATATTTGAAATATTTTCATGTACATACCGTAAAACTTTGATCTCTTATTGTGGCGACAATCTATCCCCAATGACCATGATTTGAACATATTAGAATCTGTCAAAATGCTTTCAACTTTCATTATTTCTAGCCTAGTGGTTCTTCAGCAAAAGGTTTTTGATTCATCCACCCTTTTTGCCTCTTTTTTTCATATTAACTACCTTTGGATGGGAGCATGGCCCTTCATTTAAATGATTTTGGATGCCCTTGGCTAAGATTAATTTTTATTTATAAAGCACATTCTACAACAACTCTTAAACTAACATAAGTGCCCTATGTTGGGGCTGGGGCGGAAGTGGGTATCCTTATAAAAGTGAATTTCTTTGTGCTTTATATATTAATATTTCTTCACTTAGGGCAATTATGTTTTTTTAAGACTTGTTGTAAAATGTGCTTTATAAATAAAAAATAATTTCATTAAAACGTGAATTGGTAACGATTCTCTAATAAAACTAATATCCAAATAACTGTACCTCACTTCTCACTTCCATTCTCAATGACCGTGTAGTGATGAGCAGCGCCGCGAAAATTCCATCGGCATCGAAAGCAAGTTTTTTGACTTGCTTAGATAGCCGAGCGGTCTAGCGCGCTGTTCCTGTACTGCTAGGAGACAGATTCCGTAGGTCGAGAGTTCAACCCCGGGCTGGGGCGGAAGTGGGTATCCTTATAAAAGTGAATTTCTTTGTGCTTTATATATATATATATATATATATATATATATATATATATATATATATATATATATATATATATATATATATATATATATATATATATGGAAAAATGGTATTATGCATATACAGTGTCTTTTATTACTTTCAAAAAAGGCAATGGTTCAGTTGACTTTGTTTCATGTCTTTTAGTAAACACATATATTGCAATGAAGGATTCCAGAGAAATAAATAACATGTTAATTGTGTTTCTGGTGGTTTCTAATTCCTTATTTACGTATATCAACCATTTAGATATGGACAAGCACGTGCACGTAATGAGAGGGGTGGGGTTGTCCTTTCGATCATGATGGTTTTGGTAATCGTAGCAAAATTTAAAAAAAAAAAGATTAATAGAGTTTTCCAATTTTTTCTTCAGAAAAACAAAAATGCCGATTTACTACGTTGCGTTTTTCCTGGTTTTGGTAATGAATTTCTATGAAGGTTCAGCTTGATGTGCAAGTGAGTATGTTTCGTCAGTATGATCATGGAAGAACAGCTAGGCCATAATTAGTCATTATCAATACGCAAGAATCCTCTGGTGTTGCAAATTAAATTCTCAGACACCGGATGTGTAAAGGAGGCGTAAGGAGTATAAATACGTTAATGCAAAACTAATAATTAATTTTGCATAATGCATAGTGAAATTTGCTATTGCCTATTAGGTTCAATCTACGGAGAAAGAAAAAATGTAAAAGGCGATATAACGCCTTTCAAAAAGGCGTAATAACGCGAAATAAAGCAAGGCCCTTTGAAAATGCGTAATAACGCGAGAAAAAGGCGTAATAACGCGAAAAGGCATCATTACGCCTTACTAAAAGGCGTTATTACGCCTTTTCAAAAGGCTTTATTAAGCTTTTCACATTTTCAGTACATGACTAACTTTACCCACCCCGGGGGCTGAAATCTTACCCTCGGGACATGAATTTCGCAATTAAATATAGGGCTAATTTCTCAAAAAGTAATTTTAACCTATTGTAATTAGATTTCCAGGAAAAAAAAAGATTTTTAAATATGTAATATATTTTCAATGTTTAACCAATATAGTCCTTCTCTGATGCCAGAGACTTCTACGAAGAATCATGGATTTCACAAACTTGGTTGAAGGCTATTGCCCATTTTACCCATGCAAATAGTTTGCTTACTTTTTTCCAAGAGGAGAGAAAAATATTTTCAAATTTGACATGAATTTTTCATACATGGTCAGCAAAGCCCCAAGCTGCATCTGAATACATCCTGGATTTTCACAAGTAGAGTGTTGATTCTCTTAATACGCATGCAAACAGTTGTCTGCGAGATGTGCAGGAATGTAGAAAATACTTGTAAATATTGCATAAATAAAGATGGGTTAGATTCAATCTTTTATATATTTATTAATAAAATAACGCCTTTCCATTTTTGGATATAACGCCGTTTCAAACAGGCTGGCAGTACGAGTGCCAGTGGGGGGGGGGGGGGGGGTTCCATCCCAAATTTTGGGAGAATAGTCTTGCTATAGTTAAATATAAAAATCATTTATTAGTTACCTGGTCCCTGAACATTTTGTTGCAGTATGGTTAAACTCTGCCAATTATTGCATTAAAAAAAGTTTTACTGAAAAGTTATTAAAAGATCCCCTTCGAGTTTAGGCAATTTATACACTGCAGCTATAATTTTCAGCCATTTTTAGGGGTACATGGTCATAAGGAGAATATAGAAAATCAGAAAAATACTTCTTCAAACACCTTTGTTTATAGACTTTATTTACTGAAGAATAGTTAGAAATATTATTAAAAATCAAATTCGTTTTTCTTCAATTGACATGATAGATTAAATCCACACCTTTTTGCACTTACACAGGATTTCATGATTAAATGAATGTATTGATGTTACTTTCAAATTTACAATATGAATATTTATCAAAAAATGAAAATTTCCTTTTTAAAAAAATTATATTTTATCGACATGTTATTGTTAGACACAAACCACTAAAAATCCAAATACGTGTAATAATTAAGAAATAATGATTATGAAAATGAATACATTTCATTTCATAATAGACATTACAAACATTAAACACAATCTTTAATCGATTTAAGACTCAGACGATATATCGTCTAGATATTGTTCTATTAAATAGTTGACTGAAGATTTCTTAGCAACTTTGCATTCCTTCAAAATAGTTGCATGTCATTCACTTATCACAGTTGTGTATTTCATTAGCTGAGACAGTCTCGCATTTGTTCACTTAATTATGAATTCATATGACGTAGGTTCTACGCTAAAACCTGGTATTTTTGGCGAAAATGTGCATATGTTTGCAACACATTGCCACCGATGACAATATGCGACAAATTATTAGGTAATTTTGTAGCCCATTTTGCAGGGAGAAAAAGGCTCATCTTGATCGATACATATTGTCACCTGTGTCAATATGTACCGATGAACGTCAATATGTGCAGTGAGGGTAGATTCATATTGCCAGCCGCTAGACAGACCATGTTTTTAGGAAACTGCGCATATCTGGACAACTCTTTCAGGAAAAATACTCTTTGTGAACGTATCCGGAATCAGAGCAAACAATCTGGAATACTATTTAAAAAAACATAAAGGTCACTTTTAAAACAAGTAAATCTCTTATTATGGAAACAAATAAACTCCTAAAAATGTTCTGGTCTTCGGGCATGATTAATAACTCGAGGTATAAATATACAGTTGCTGGCTTACATTGCTTAAATTTCTATACTTTTCAAGATTCATCTTAAATACCTTAGTCTTTCTCAGAAGAGATAGTTCCTAGCAACTCAGATGGACGAAAAAGTGATGTAGAAGCTAGAAGAAATTTAAAACTTTAATTAACTTTGGAGTTTTTGTAAGGTTTATAAAACATTGTTTTTCTGTTTTTTCCCCCTGTTTTTGGTCTCTTTCATTCCACAAGTTAACATTTGTCAGTTGTTTTGTCATAAACTTTCATGTTTTTGCTGTGTCTCAACTTCTTTTAAAATCAAGCACAAATTTATGAGACCTTAAAAAAACTGAATAAATTTATCAAAGATGTAATCCATGTAGAATTTCGCTTAAAATGTTTTGCTACTTCAAAAAAGTGATGCCAAATTTATACAAAGGAGTTTTCTTATTCAGTCTTTATTTAAGTGTTCAGACTCTTCAAATAACATTTCTTAAAATTGAAATGGTGAAGAAAACAGACAGCAATCAATCTCCTAAATTCTGTAAGCAATACGTATGAACGAAATAAAAACACCCTTCCCTTAAATCACGAGAGGTACCTAGGAGGGGGTAAGCATCCCCTGTGGACGGTCACCCATGCCATGCGTCATCTGTATGTAGATAAACCGAGTAATCTGTGGTCAAAATTAGTAAAAACAACGACCAGACGATTGGTATGAAAGATGTTAGTCAAAACAATCTAAAGAGAGGTTTTAATTGCAAACAAGGTCACAAGGTCACAAGGTCCAGATTATTCTTAATAACTTACTTTTAAAGCTGCTCATTTGTTTTAAATTTTCTTTTAACATGGGACAGAAGAGCATTTTACACGGAAATATTTCTAATCCTTTTTAAAGTATATATATGGATGTATATGTGTGTGTATATTCTTAAGGTGTTTGACATGTAATTTTAAGTTCTTATATTTGTAAAGTTTTTTTTATGTCTACATTTATGTACAGCGCTTTAGAGTAATTTATATTATATTTAGCGCTTTATAAATTGTGTATAATAATAATAATAATAATGATAGCGACCAAAAATTTGCTGCTGTTGAAAGCCCTGTGATAGGAACATATTTTTGGAAGCCTGCTTTGGTTTCGAAATTGTTTGTGCTGAAGAGACAAACGTCATATGCAAGTAGGAAATAAAATTTTAATTCAAAAAATTATATAAATTAACTTAGAATGATTTTCCTTAACATTTATTTAACTAATTGAAAAGTTATTTCTACATATTTGAAAAGCAAATATATAAGCTTTACATCTTTATCATGCTTCCGACAGGCGAACGTTATTTCAAAGGTACCAACGATCACTGGACAAAGTATACACAACAACTAGTTGTTAATAGTTGTTAATCATTTCTAGGACCAAATCCCAGGCTTAATTTCAGACGATTATAACTGGGGTTCACAGACCAGGTAAATTTAGGGGAATATTACTAAATAGATAAGGGAAGATGACGATGGGAAAGCTGAAGTCACCATGTTTATTATATTGTTCAGCTGATAGTTGGTCATTAGTGTCTTTATTCGGTGAAAAAAATCTGGCACACTCCGTAATATCTTTTATTTCGAGTTCATGGAGGTATAAAGCGTCGACGCATGGATGAAAATAAATATTAATATTTAAACGGTGTCGATATACAAGTATTTAAAAGTAAAAATAGAAGGCCACAGTAAGAGTTTTATTCTTTTCATGTACAATGTTTAAAATTTATTCAGCTTCAAAAGAATTAAAAGAATAAAAAAGCACAATTATCATCATGAAGATAATTCTTTCAACTTCCAATGTATTGTCTTAACCTTATCAAGAACAAATGCTAGAAGATTGCACACTTTTTTAAATCAGATATGAAATAATTTATAATTTAAGAAGAATAAAACTTGATAGGTTTTATGGAAACGAACTTTTTTTCACCTCTCATGAAATCCTGTTGTTTTCGAACACGAAAGCAACATATGCTGCACTTTGTCACGTAAATCAGGGGTATATATACATTGAGATTTGTAGTTATTACAAATTTTTGTCTCTCCGTTGTGATTATAATAATCAAATAAAAGAAAGTATTGCTAAGGTAAGTTTTAATATATTTTTTTTTCTTAACAAAACAAATAAAACATATAATGCAGATATTTTTCGTGTTGTAAATTTTGAATTTACAGGTGGCAGTAAATACAAAATTAACAATATGAGTTGTTATGTTGTAAATTTTGTATTTACTGCCACCCGGTATATTCAAAATTTACAACATGACATATCGTAAACCAATTCTTCCAAGGGATGAAAAATAATTATTTACTATCATACTGTTGTTAAAGAAAAAGTCATTTTTATTTGTATGTCCTTTTTATAACCACGGCCAAGTAGATATTGTACACATTTTTTTAACAATACATGTATATCTTATAAAATTCTTAATCCAGCAGATGTTAAATCAACAAGCAATATTTGTAACTTTATGAATGGTGCATTCGACATACACATGTAGGAAAATCTATGTGACTATATTTGTATACTGTATGTATGACTTTCGCAACATGTGGTTTTGTCAATAAATGATAATTAATTAATTAACGTCATATTTTATCCCATTTTGGTAGAAATTTTTCAACCATGAATTTAAATGTTGTGTATTTAAATTAAAAAAAAGATATCGTGATACAGTTCAATGTTATTCAGAATTAAAAACTGCAAAATGGAATCGAGGATCGATTAAAATTTAGTAATTTACAAACAATACACATATTAAATGATGTCTGAAGTCATACCTGTAATATGCCACACAAAGGGAAAAAACTAGACGTTCAAATTAAGAATTGTTACATCGTTTCAGTTTCAAATACAGATTTAATATTTTAATATTTTGCATCGTTGAAAAGAAATCAGTTGGGGGGGGGGGGTATTTGAATGATAAAGACTTTGTTTCAGACGAGGGCTATCTGTGAGGAAACGGATTATCTTTAAATAACTGATCAAAAATTTAATAGAGTTAATAGTAATTCTATATAGTTGCTGTTCTTGTGAAAGCACCGTTTAGCGGTAAGAATATTTATAATTTATGCTCATTGAATAATTGTTAGCAAAATGAATTTCGTATTTTGATAAACAGAGAAATGTTTTTAATGATCGAGTGGACCAGGCTATGTGATATATATAGGGAGAGTATTTTTGAGAAATTCATGCCGCTATGAGTTGACGTTACAATGTTATTATGTGTTCTGTGTTTACAAAACGTATTGTTTTTAAATTAAGTAACATGCTTTCTATGAAATCGAATGAAACTTTACACATCAACAAAATAAATATTTTTTACATATGATTATATGCTAATTTAAATTTCTTGAAAATAGTTCAACAAAGATTGACATGGTCAGCGAACTTTTCAAATAAACCCCGTACAGTGCGTTTATTGCTTTTATATAGCTGATTATAGCCATTTATTTTTATTGTGATTTTTTGTGGAAACAAAGATGGCATATTCCCTCTGTATCTACGTTTTACTTCTACTGGCATCAACAGGAGTGGTGAATGCATCAGGTCAGTCAGAAATGCTATTTTTTTAACTTTAAGAAGTTTTCAAGTTTTTGGCAATATTTTTCAAAATATAAAGTTATCAAATTAGATCAGTCTTTTGCTCTGTGTGGTGGTCAAAAAGGCTTCATCCGCTGTTGGAGAGGAACAAAGATTCAGATTTTGTTAGCCAACTACGGACGAACAGATAAACAGGTGTGCCCTGGAAGTAAATCTGATACAAATACCTGTCGCTCGAAGATGTCAGAAATCAAAGTGAAATGGAACTGTAATGGATACCAGACCTGTCACCTTCATGCTGCTGATCAATACTTTGGAGACCCGTGTCCTGATTATTCCAAATATCTGGAAGTTAAATACCGGTGTGTGAAGAGTCCAAATCTGCAAAATAGTGGTATGAAATAAAATTGATACATGTATGTATACGTTAAAAACCTTAAATGATACTACTGTATATTTAAAATACATATCAATTTATTAACGAAAGAAAGATAAATGCAAATTCAAAAAGAATCAAAACAGATTTTTATCTATGTTTGTGAAGAATAAACCCTTAACGAAGAAGATTTATGTTTGCCGAATAAAAACCTACATTGTACATATGGTCATAGAGTCTCTTTTTGCAGCAAGACATTTGAAGATTTTTTTAATTCAAATAAACTTTCCTGCAAAATAGAATTAGAACAAAAAAATTGTGGACAATTTGTACTTTCTTGTTAAATTTGTACATTCTTACTGAGACAAGAAATAAGTAGCAAATATGTAGTATTAAATTTCAGATTTGCTACTGCAATTTGAATTTAAGTTTGTGTATTTTGAACAGCTTTTAATTAACATCAACCCATTCAATTTTGATTTAGAAATATGACTTACAATTTTCTTTTTTTGCTTTCGCGTAGGGGACTCCATAATTGCTTTTAATGCGTATATAACCAAACATTTAAATTTACAACGAAACACCCCTGTCGATGTTGTATATGATGGTGTTTATTACAACTTTGGAAATGCGTACAATCCTCATAGTGGCTTTTTCACAGCGCCATCTGAGGGACTGTATGTATTTACTTGGACAAGTCTCGTTTATGGGGGGAAAATCTTTGATGCTCAAATTCTTGTAAATGGAGTCAATAAAGGATACGGAAACTGTAACAATGAAGCCAATCCAAGTTACGCAAATTGTGCTAATACAGTACCTTTGGTTCTGAAAGCCGGAGACAAAGTAAACATAAGGACTACAAATGCAAATAGTTTGCATAAAAGATGGTCTAGTTTTAAGGGATGGAGAGTGAAATAAAGAATGGTCGGAAAATTTATTCTTTATTTAATGTTCTTTGCAATAAATATAATTCCTAATGATTATAATGTTCCTTTTTCACTGTTAAAGATTTTTCAACACTTTTTTGCACAGAATTTTACTACTTTTTTATTCTGTTTAGAACGATAAATGATTTTTAGTATGTATGTGTATTTCTTCACAAGTCTATGTTCTGAGCCACAGATTTAGCCATAACTATACATAGAAATATGATTCTGACCCCCCCCCCTCCCCCAAATAATTATTATTAATGGGTAGACAGCGGTTGCATTGTGAGAGGATCACTTCAGCAGTGTGAAACTCCAGTGTGCTTCGAGTCAGTAGTGACCTCACTGTGCACATCTGGACTTATTGCAAGCGCTCTCGAGCGCTAGCAACTACGTTAGTGCATATTTCTGGAATACGCATGCTCGACTTCACGGTCGGGCATTCTGGGAAAACTACTGCAGATAGACTGTACGATAACAATTTCGTTTTGTCATACAAAAATAGATATACTTCGAATTAACACTGGCCTTTCCTGTCTGATATGCGCGATAACCATTTCGTACGTTAGAGACAGGCAAAACCAGTCTAGATCAGGATTCTGAATTTTTTAAAATTTATTGTCTAACCTACACATAAAAGTACAAGAAAAAATTATATCATATTATAATGCTAGGATTCTAGACATCTAGCTTTCCTTACAATTATACCACCTTCCTTGATAATTCCGGTAAGCACGGAAAAAAAGGAAAAAAAATCATTTCAGAGTATGTCGGAAAGACATGTCAATTTTGTTTTATCATCTGAAAATACATATGATCTGAAGTCTCGTGTTTTGTTGTCTAACCTGTACGTAAATTTACAAATTGTAACAGTAACTCGGGTCTTATAAAACCAAGACTGTTATTTCTAAAATTGTAATAAATACCTAGCTTTTCTAATCTACCTTCATGGATCTTTCCGACAAGCTCGGAAAACCGCGGCAACCTCTGATATGTTTCTAAGCTTGCCGGAAAAACCCAAGAAGATGCGATTGCTAAAAAACAGTACCACACTGGTATATTTTAAACTAGGTGCTCATTGGTTTTACTGACCTTTTATTTTTCACCTCGAAATTGAATTACAGTAAAAAAAAAATGCTTTAAGCACAATTAAGGAGTTATGCCATTGCCGACGTGAACCCCACTCTTAGACTCACCAATCTGAATTGTGACCCCCCCCCCCCCCCAAGTGTACCAATGTGTCTTCTTATCAATAATTATTTGATTCAGCAAATTTAAATATGGTTCAGATATCTTCTTCTGTGTTTTATTCTGCTACAGCGCTAGCTCACCTATCTATTTAAAAGATAATCTTGTGTTTATTTATTTTAAATACCGGAAAGGATTTAAAGCATTTTGTCATTCACTGTAAAAAATATTGAAATGGAAGGCGCTATAATTCTTAGAAATCTGTAGAACCTATGAGCAAGTTTAAAGGCCGATAAACACGATGAGATTTGTAGTATATTACAAGTATTTTAATACTTTTGTATTATAATACTTTCTTGTACACACGCTACTGCATATCTTATAAGATTGTAAAAGACTTTATAGGTATTTCCAATATTTCTCTCTCTTAAAAAACCGGAGACGAGGTTCTTTTTGCAGTGTCTGTTAAACTGTTAACTAAAAAAAGAAAAGAAAAATGGGGTAATTTCCACTCGAGATATTCCATAAATATTCTTCTTATAAAACTACGAGTTTTTCCTTATCTTTACCGCTTAAGCTATTATTATTAAACATGTGCCTTTTAAGCAATGATGAAAATTGGATGATCCCAATGTGAGTAGCTTTGATTGGTTAAAAGTGAAAGATAAGTTAAGACTTGAATTAAGAAATAGAGCATTGTTCTATTCTTCATACAGATTTATAAGATTTGAAAAATCTTATGATACACTGCATTAAGGTACACACGGTCAATACTGTTCGTTATCTCCATATATGTCACGGTAAGATTTTATAGTATAATACAAATCTTACTGTGTATACCGGCCTTAAGATAATCCAGGGTGGTGCCGTTTTGGAGTTAAAAAAATAATGTTTTTATTATTAATCAAAATAGGTCCAAAGTTTCTTTTTTTGTGTAAATCAGTTCGAAAATGAAATGTTAATACGAAACTAACACGAGGGTGATATCCCCAAATTGTCCTATCATGATTTTGAGCATTTGCATTCCAGCAAAAATTACTCTCTTGCTAGCACCGAGAACAATTTTTCCTTATACCAGGGTAATTCGACCTCTTTTGTGCAACTTCATCCAAGGAAATCCTTTCTTCATTATTCATAATTTACCAATCGTTGGTTGAGACTGCAACGTTGCAATCACTGCTGAAATAAAACCAATTATTGAAATTTATTATTTGATAGTCACTGTGGTTGATAATGCATTTCAAACCGCATAGCATGTTTCAATCACTACTGCACAATACATATTATTAAAATACATATAAAGATTTTTTGTTTATTATATAATCAACAAGGATAAGGGTTTAAAAAAATTGACCAATGTGTCTATGTTCACTTAAAAAAAGATATCGGTATAAAAATCTAAATCGAAGTATAAAATACATTTTACCCGATCATAATCTTTATCAGATTTATTTTCTCATTGTATCGAATTGTATTTATAAGGAGACTATTCATTTCAAAAATTACAAAAACATTTTTTCATTACATGTAGTAGTTTTTTTTTCAATAGTAGTTGCAATATTGCACCCTCTATTAATACAAAGCTTGCTATAGAAAATTATTTCAATAGTAGGTGGTATTTCAGTAGCAGTTTCGAAATGTGATCACTATTAAAATAACATCTAGTTTTTTTTTTTTTTTTGTTTTTTTTTGTTTGTTTAATGTCTCCTTTAAAGAAGTTTCACTCATATTGAGACGCCATTGCCGATGGAGGGCTGCAAATTTTAGACTTATACTCGGCACTTCGAGCCATTGAGCAGTCATCTACTTTTGTAATAACGCCTAGACTACATTACCCTGAAGAGTTGCTTCATTAAACGCTGGTTTTCCTATTGAATAATATTTAAAGTGTAGCATGTCCTTGAGTATAGGCGAAAATGTTATATAAAGTAAAAATTAATCAACAGATTGGATACCTATTGCTGTGATTTTTATGCCCCTGTAATTTAAGATTCGGGATATATAGTTTCTGCTCTGTCCATCCATCTGTCTATCTATCTGTTCGTCTACAAAAACTTTAACCTTGCCTATAACTTTTGATTGGTTGGAACTATAACTTTCATATTTCACAAGTGTATTCTTTGTGACGAGACCTTTCCTTTGGAACCAACATTTTGACCTCTTGAGCTTGACCTCTGAGTTTTACCAATTCTTAAAAAAATTTTAAATTACCAAACTTTAATTTTGAACGGTTGGTGGTATGGCTTAAATACTTCACATGTGCATTCCTTGTGAAAAGTACTTCCTTTGTGTAGTACCAATTATGGCCTTTTGACCTTGACCTTGGAGTATGACTTATTTTTGAAAAAAAGATGTGTTTGTGAAACACTGATGCCCCCGTATGGCAACTCATATTAAAGGTTAAACTTTCTCAAATACAAATCAAATATGTTAGTACCCAAAGTAAGGTCTTATCTCGAGGAATATACCTTTGAAATATGAAAACCCTAGCAGCAAGCATTGAATTGATATGGAAAAGGTTAAAGTTTTTCAAAAGTAAGTCAAACATCAAGGTCAAGTTCAAATGGTCATAATTAATAGGGCTCAAGGAAAGGCCTTCCAACAAGAAATACACATATGAAATATGACAGCCCTAGTACCAACCACTCAAAAGTTATGACCAAAGTTAAAGTCTTTCAAAAGTAGGTCAAACTCCAAGGTGAAAGGGTCAAAGTTGTTGGTATCCAAAGGAAGGTCTTGTCACAACGATTATGTGAAGTATGAAAGCCCTAGCACCAACCGTTCAAAAATTATGGCCAAGGTTAAAATTTTGCAAAAGTAGGTCAAATTCCAAGGTCAAAGTCAAAGGGTCAAAGTTGTTGGTATTCAAAGGAAGATCTTGTCATAACGATTACATATGTGAAGTGAGAAAGCCCTAGCACCAATCGTTCAAAAGTTATGGCCAAGGTTAAAGTCATTCAAAAGTAGGTCAAACTCCAAGATGAAAGGGTCAAAGTTGTTGGTATCCAAAGGAAGGTCTTGTCATTAGGTATACACATGTGAAGTATGAAAGCCCTAGCACCAACCTTTCAAAAGTTATGGCCAAGGTTAAAGTTATTCAAAACAGGGACAAACTTCAAGGTCAAGGTCAAAAGGGTAAAAAATTTGAGGTATTCAAAGGAAGGTCTTGTCACAAGGTATACACATGTGAAGTATGAAAGCCGTAGCACCGACCGTTCAAAAGTTATGGCCAAGGTTAACGTATTTTTTAAAGGTATGTCAAAATCAAATGTCAAGGTAAAAGGGTCAAAGTTGTTGGTATCTGAAGGAAGGTCCTGTCACAAGGTATACATATGTGAAGTTTGAAAGCCCTAGCACCAAAAATTTAAAAGTTATAGCCTAGGTTATAGTATTACTATTAAATATTTCAAAAGTGGGTCAAACTCCAAGGTCAAGGTCAAAAGGTCAAATTTTATGGCACCCAAAGAACGGTCCTGTCACAAGGAATACACGTGTGAAATATGAAAGCCATAGCTCAAACCAATCAAAAGTTATTGGCAAGGTTAAAGTTTTGTGGACAAACAGACAGACAGACAGACGGACGGACAGGGCAAAAACTATATGCCCCCGAATCTTCTTTACGAGGGCATCAAAATCATGGACATAACTTTGGACAGTTGATGATAGAACTTTCATATTTCAAGTGTATATCGAAGGTCTTGTCATAAGAATTATTAAGCCATAGCACCAACCGTTCAAAGTTAAAGTTTGGTAATTTAAAAAAAATTGCGAAAATTGGTCAAACTCAAAAGTCAAGCTCAAGAG